CAATGAAACACTAAATATGGATTACTTCGAGGACAATCCCTATGGTCTCAACTATGACGATATTCTCACTTCCATGATGTCGGGGGAGGAGGCGGACTTCCACCAGTTCGACTACGGCGACGGTGAAGATTGGGAAGACAAAGCCGTTAGATGGGCTTCGCAACCCTACCCGCCCCTCTCCTCTTTGTGGTGGGGGGACTTGTGCTCCTTCGCCCAGAACATCCTCCTTCAGGTTCTCCCCAATATGCTGTTCAGCCTGACCCTCTGCCTACTGTGGCGAATCTCCTTCTTGCTGCTGACCCGTTGTCCGCCCCAACGTGATGAAGGAAACCCTCCGCATTCTAAGCGTCAGCGTAAGAACTGCGGCAGGGTGAAATGTTGTTCAGCAATTTCTCGTAGTCCAGCAACCCCCAGTGTGGGGCCTAAGCTGCCTGGTTGCTTACCTTAACAGCTTGTCAGCTTATAGGGTTGGGTGACTGATAGCATCAACTAGATTCGAAATGTCCACGCCCGCTCTCCCCATAATGCTTCTGGCTGCTGATGGTTTGTTGCCGTGCTGCTATCTGCGTGTGCCCTGGATCAGTGCCACAAGAAAAAAATCGATGGCTTATATTCCTCCTTGTGCTCAGATCAGATGAGTAAATGTCAGTGGTATACCCAACAAGTAAACAGGTCATGCTTTGTTTAAGGATTTATACCATGGAAAAGATGATTAGGTAGAAGATGCGGACATTGCGATACTCCCGACTTCACCTGAGTTCTGGTCCATAACAATCTGCCTCAACCGTTCAGTATTCGATTTGGCTGCGACAAGGTTGTATCCTGTCGCCTATTCTGTTCAACAACGCAATTTGTGGGGTCCATTAAGGGTATGAGAGTATTTATTATGCATCCAGACGCTGACTAACTGACCTTAAACTGCATGGACAATATCGCCATACTAGTCTTTGGTACTCTACGGTGTGTAGTGTCACGGGGGAAGGAAATCGCTAACTTAGTCGATGTAGCCATAAATGGCAGGACTAAATTGTTCCTGACCAATAGAGGGCGCCTATCGTGATTAATGACTGTCGTCCTGAAGAAATAGATCGTTTCAAATACCTCAGACGAGGCTGCTGCTACTGCTGTCCTTGTCGAAATAAAATTAAAAATTCATTCACCTACTGTCAGGCTTCTAATTTCGCAATTTCCACTACTTTCCTCGCTAATACTGGAGCATTTTCTGGCATCTAACAGGACAATAAATGGCCCATTTTCCAATAAGGTCTTGAGCAGTGGATAAAAGCTACAATTGTGAACAAAAACTGTTTTCGAAGTCAAAGTCGTCAAAAGTACTTATTCGCTTATTCCTCGAGTCATGGTAGGGCAGCAAAAAGTGAAAAACAACCAGTAAGCAAGGGTGATAGCGGAGAGGGTTGCGGGTGACTAGACACGTCTGAACGAGAGGAGGGGGAGTTCTAGTGTCTTGTATCGGAGCCGAAATGATTTTGGCTGCTGCATCTCCAAATGTTTATCGGCCGTTCAAAACCACCGAAAAGATGGAGCTCTGCAGTGCCGATCCGGTACCGCCAAACTTCTCCTTATTTGGCTCACCCAAACACACCTTGGGAGACCGACTGTGTAATGTGAAACGGGATGTAAAGTGGGTTTGTCTGCATCTTGCGTGCGTTGCGCTTTGGCAGCGTGCTTGCTATTTACGGTGCATCCCAGGTTGCCGTGATAGAGTGAACTGACATATATACATAAGGGTCGTTACCCTAATGTAATACGACCTTTCAGACAGATTTATGCGACCACGGCTCCAATTACCTATCGATTGAGTTGACTTTTCTCCGCCACCTCGTTTCTCCCACCCCCGTCTAACTGATTACATACAGTCAGTGCATAGTTTCGTTTTCTTTTGAAGTCCTCAACCCCTTTGTCGCTGTCTGGTAGCCTGTGTTGGTCTTAGCCTGGGATGTAAAATGAAGACCGAACCACCGTATTTCGTTCTGATATCAGGTCAGCATTTTCCTCTTCCTGATCTGGGGGTCGGAGTAAGTCCGACTAACGACATAATTACCTTTTAAACCTCAGCGTCATATAAGTAGTTCATTTCGAACGCCCACCCTAATCCTCACGCAACTACCTCTTACTCGTGGATCCGTCTAAAGGAACTAAATTGAATATAACTAGGCGTGCTGCAGCTATGACACTACTTTTCCCTAACGGGATCGGTACTTCAGCGGACCCTGTACCCTCCCCTATCACTATTTTTTCAAAGATATATCTTCACCTCGCTGTTCTCAGCTAAGCTCATGTTTCACATTTAATAACTTACTTTGCCATTTGGTTCTCATCAATAGATTAAAGATCCTACCTCCCCTCTATCTTTGCTGTACATTTCAGTACCTCTCTGGCGCGAAGCTGTTCTCCATGCAATGTCTATTGCACTTGGTTAGTTCTCCTTCCACCCCAATATCTCCTGTATCTTAATGTCGATCGTTGTAGAGGACAATTTTTGTCGTTGGGCTCCGCAGAGGCAATGTGGGGCCCCCTGTGAACCTCTTTTTTGTCTCCGCGGACCCGAAATTGAGATAATTTCTTTTTACTTGATCCCTCTTATGATATCCATGTCAATATATGTCTATGTCTTTGGCTCAACTGTGCGTGATTGCTCCTTTTTTTGGAGCCTAAATTATCCGGACATCCATTGACCACTTTTTCCAACGACTTGCTTCTCTTCCGCTGCCCTTTTAACGCCTCACTTTATTGTCTATGGTGTTAGCTGGCCATCGTGAATGACTGTTTTCGTTGAACTATTCTTCGCAGGTTTCTATAACGGTACAATTTAAACCCAAATGGACACCGATCGGTGCTTTCTGGCCTAGTTCTTTCAGCGCTGTTTGCTTCACCATGTTCTGCCCCCTCTCTCTTCGCCCTGCCTTCCACGCATCGCGCTGTCTTCCCGCTCGAAAGGTCCATTTTAGGATGCTAGGGATACCTTACTGTTGTGAGACAATTTCATCACTTAGCAAGTCAGATGTCTAGCCCACAGACACTGTGGTGAAGCTTCTTAACGTGAAGCTCTGTCCACAGTTTATTTCGTTCATGCTGCATTGGTGAGAGGAGGCAAATTAATAGTCAAACGCGTGCTCCATACACCGCAAAGGGGCTTCGAGGGTACACTGCCTGGTCATCAGATACATAATTAAGTGAGCAAACTGAAACTACTTTGATCATTTAAGTAGTTGTGAAAAGTATGAGTTCCTTCGGTGATTAATACTACTTACCTCGTTGTCCAGTTTCGACAAGGAACCGGTTTTCCTACCAATTGCGACAAACTAACGAACTACACTTGGTGATTTAGTTGAAGCTTTCGTTACCGAAACATGCAATATCGGATTCGCATTCGAACCCATCACTGGGAACAGTAGACGCAGAAAAAAGTTAAATGACATACCGTAGGCTGTCTGATCTTATCCACGATATCGATCATGGTGGTGGTTTGGTGATCCCCTTCTTCTCTACCTATGTCTGATGAGCTATAGCTCCTCTTATCCACCCTATCCATCTAGGGTCGTTGTATAGCTTGATTTCATCTGTGTTCTCGAACAACGACTCAAGCAGCAAATGCGTCCATTAATTGTTTTGTTCACACACGACCGTGAAATGTGCGTCACGCGAAATTTTATGCATGAAGCATTAAATACACAACTCATACAGAATAGGCAAGGAGTTTAACCAACAAAGAGGACGACATCTCTAACTTATTTGTCGTTATTGAACAGTAATACGCCCACCAGAATCACACTGGGTTGGCCATTTCTGGCCCACTAGCCGTCATCAGCTAGTCACACCCAACGCGAGGTGGTGCACCACCTGTTGATCAGAAGTCCAGTGCTACTCCAACTACTGAGCCACGGGCTGGTTTAGTTGAGGTATAATTTACCGACGACTGTGGATCTGCTAATTAGCGTTTATCCCCTTGTCCCTGTTTTATTTGGCAAGGCTTCTCACTGATCTTTAGTCATTATGTGATCACCCGCGTTAGCTGCATGCCCTCAGCTCTAAACGAAAACGTTAATGTCTATTTCCATCCCGCAATCCAGATAAATCGGTACACGTCACTCGCACATGGCTAGCTACTTTTGACCTCAGTGGAAGTGTCTTTGGAGATTGTTTTAGACAGTTGCTAAACAAAAGCCCACCACTGTAAGCTATTACCTAAACGTTAATTGCCCTTGAACATCTTACTAATAATGAGTAGCTGGCTAGCATGCACTATATTTATCTTGCAGGCATCCTTCTCCTGCGCCACTACTTTGGGGCTCAGTGCACCCTTCCAATAGCCTTCATCGTGACCCTGGGTCTCCTCCAATGTGGGTTG